GGTTGTGTTGGTTTATGCGACGCTGCAATATTGCGTGGACATCAGGGGAAGTTCCCCTGGATTGGCAGACCGGGGTGGTGGTCCCCCTATTCAAAAAGGGGGACCGTAGAGTGTGTTCCAACTACAGGGGGATCACGCTCTTAAGCCTCCCATGTAAGGTCTATTCGGGGGTTCTGGAGAGGAGGGTCCATTGGATAGTCGTACCTCGAATTCAGGAGGAGCAGTGTGGTTTTCGTCCTGGTCGTGGAACACTGGACCAGCTCTACACTCTCAGCAGAGTCCTGGAGGGTGTGCGGGAGTTTGCCCAACCGGTCTACATGTGTTTTGTGGACTTGGAGAAGGCATTCGACCGCATCCCTCGGGGAACCATGTGGGGGGTACTCTGGGAGTATGGGGTACCAGGCCCTTTGATACGGGCTGTTAGGTCCCTGTATGACCAGTGTCAGAGCCTGGTCCGCATTGCCGACAGTAAGTCAGGCTTGTTCCAGGTGAGAGTTGGACTCCGCCAAGGTTGCCCTTTGTCAACTATTCTGTTCATAACTTTTATGGACAGAATTTTTAGGCGCAGCCAAGGTGTTGAGGGGATCCATTCTGGTGGCCTTAGGATTGCGTCTCTGCTCTTTGCAGATGATGTGGTCCTATTGGCTTCAACAGCTCGTGATCTACAGCTTTCGCTAGAGCAGTTCGCAGCCAAGTGCAACGCGGCCGGGATGAAGATCAGTTCCTCCAAATCCGAGGCCATGGTCTTGAGCCGGAAAAGGGTAGAGTGCCCTCTCCGGGTCAGGGAGGAGGTCCTGCCCCAAGTGGAGGAGTTCAAATTTCTTGGGGTCTTGTTCATGAATGAGGGAAAAATGGAACGTGAGATCCATAGGCGGATAGGTGCAGCATCTGCAGTGAAGCGGGCGCTGTACAGGTCTGTCTTGGTGAAGAGAGAGCTGAGTCAAAAGGCGAAGCTCTCAATTTACCGATCGATCTATGTTCCTACCCTCATCTATGGTCATGAGCTTTAGGTTGTGACTGTGTAGTGAACTAAGCCTCAGGTCAAATCTGGCCTTGAGGGCCTTCCTGGGACAAGAACTGTATTTCATTGATTTGAGTCCAAAAACACAAGATTAAGTTCACCCAGAGACTTTCTAAGTGTCCTGCACTGATCAATTGAAAGAACACTCTCTTTTTTATTATCATTACTATTTTACAAATGTCGTGATAATCAAAAGTGTGTTTAGTTCAAACCATTTTTAAATGTTGAAGTGAACTACTCATTTTAAATCAACTGTGAAACAGTTAATGATTTTTAATCCTCATTCAAAGTAGAAATCAAGTTAAGGTCTGTTACAGAGTAATTATTCATTTTTTCTTGATCTTCTGTCTAAGACACCAGTGTAAGTTGGTCAAAGGTCAAGTTTCGGTCAACTGCAAGTTTACTGGAAAAGAAATGTCATGTTTAACTTTTACAGAAAGATATTAGAGAATTGACTCCACGAAGTCTCGGTTCTTCATAACAATCTTCTGTCTGTTCTTAAACAATCTAATCTTTTTCCCTTGACTTTTAATAACCTCTTACATCACTAAAACACACCCCTGTTTGGTCAATCGACCAATCAGGAAGTTCTCAAATGAACCGGAAGTGACCTCTTTAAAAGGCTTAACACTTCCTAGTTCAGGGGAGAAGAACGCTGAGAGAATGCTGTGAGTTAGTTCCGAGAGCAGCAGAGTTCAGAATGCTGGAGAAAAGGCAACTAAGCTGAACGAGAGAAGTTCAGAGGAACTATGAAATGTCTGTTCTGGGATGATCTCACGACTCTGAACGGTTCCCTACTATCCTTACGGAGACGCTGGAAAGCGTTTGAAGAGAACTCTACGCCGAGGCCGAACTATCGTCTGCAAAGGTAAACGAGTCGATCTTCAACCGCAAAGTGTACCGTTGGTTAAGCTGGTCCAAAGGAGCGTGTTGTTCTGGTTATAACAGACAAATTCCCTCACCCATCTCTCTCAACTTAAACTTCATTTCCATCTTTAAACTCTTCTATCTTGCTAGAAATCATTCCAGATATTTTCAGAAATGTCTGTTGTGAAGCAAAGGAAAATCATGGCCGTATGGTTTTCCTGACTGTAAAGCTAATTACTTAAGCTGTTGTTATTTTCAATTTTGCCAAATTAATGTAAATGTTTGATGTTAAACTTTGATTCTGTTAATAAATGACCGCATTCATTTGATGGGTCAAAGAAAATTAACGTCTCACGTTACTTTTAATTATTCAATGCACGATATTATTCAGTCCAGAAAAATGAAAGAATCCGTTTAATTTATGGATAACATATCACAGATATATGTCCTATTACAACCGAAAGAACAAGATCTCAGATACAAGCAGCCGAAATGGGTTTTCTCCGCAGGGTGTCTGGGCTCTCCCTTAGAGATAGGGTGAGAAGCTCGATCATCCGGGAGGGACTCAGAGTAGAGCCGCTGCTTCTCCACATTGAGAGGAGCCAGTTGAGGGACTATGTTTCTCGGCTGGCCTGGGAACGCCTCGGGATTCCCCCGGAGGAGCTGGACCAAGTGGCTGGGGAGAGGGAAGTCTGGGTCTCCCTACTTAGGCTGCTACCCCCGCGACCCGACCCCGGATAGGCGGAAGAAAATGGATGGATGGTTGGTTTACTTGGACATCCTGTTCAATTGCAGTCCACAAAAACACTCATCTCAAAAATTACAAACATTCACTATTCACATTCCTCAGTGACGGGAGACATCAGCATACCACTTGTTTTCTGAATATAGCCATAATATAGATAGGTTTACAAAATACTAAGGGATGTGGGATCAATATGAAATTATAATTTGGTATTCTTATGGTTAATGTAAGTATATCTAAATGCTAGGATTATAAAACCACAGGGGTCTTTTTTTTTTACCAGACAATTTAATGCTTAGAGATTTTCTTCAGGGTTTTAGATGTGATTTCAAGCAGGAATTATATATACTCCTTGTCATTCACTTTCATCTGCTGGCAATATAACATCCTGATGAATCCTAGTGCCTTTTTATTTATGTCTAGATTGCTTCTTTCCATTCCATTTGATAGTCTATGAAGCAAAGTGATGCAGAGACCCTTGGTTATGATGCAAACACAAAGGTTTTGCATTACCTCTCTCTGCACTGCTTCTAAACCAAGTGACAGTAACTAATTAACTTGCAGGAAGGCCTAATAAAACTAAAAGCAAGAATAGCCATTTTGCTGACTCATTACATAGGCCTAATCCTTTATAGTTAATTAACTTCTTTCCTCTGTGTCAAACAGGTTGAAATTTATTATACTGTCAAGGATAGTAAACCCCCACCCACCATCCACCCACTTACTCACACACACTTTCCTGTCCACCAGCTATATCTGTAAGTAACATTTTTAGATGCTGGCACTAAAACCCCTGGATAAGTGAAATACACTGTTCACTCATACTACACTATTTCTGTGGATGAAAATCATCAAACTGATTGCCCGTTAGCAGTTTCATGCAGGAGCACGTTTACTCCCAGCTATGTGGCGCACACTGGCACAGTGTGAGGGTAAGCGGGTGTTCCAGTGTGGGTGGTTTTGTTCTGTCTTTGGCACTCTGAGTTTTGAATGTCTATTACTTTTGAGCTTGGTGAGAAAAATCACAGATCTGACTCCCATGAATGGACCTCATGGTTTTGGGTTCTGGGCTATAAAAGAGTATTGTGAGTACAACTTTAAACTTCTATTAATAGGAAAGAAATTGCTCTGTCAATTTAGTCAATTATCGTGTTCACACATTTTTTGTTTTGTTGTAGTATTGTAATATTATTGATAATGAATCTTCTTTTTGCTTAATCTTCTTATATACAGTGCTTTGTGAAAGTCATGGAGTTCCTCAGGGTTCATTGCTTGGACAAATACTCATTACATTATACAGTATATGCTTCCATTAGATAAAGATATTGAACAGCACAGGATAGATTTTCTTTGTTATGCTGATCTGAATCATTTATTATTTATTATCATTGTACCGAAATACAGTGAGATTATATTCGTACAGTCGTCCGAAAGATGGGCGGCGTTCATGTTGCTGCTGCTAAAAAGTGCGGCCCCTTATTCTTTATCAGAATACTTTTAGATAGAAAAAGGGTAAGAACCATAAGGATAGATAGTGGTATTAGAAAAAAGATCTCTTCACATCTTGTCCTATCAGGACATGGTTTGAGACATCAAATAACTCTACTAGCAGCACATTTATAAACACATTACATATGCATTTGACGTCAAGACGTTGAGATTTGTCCATGAGCACTTTCAGATAGGCCACAGTACTGATGTTGTTATTCATCTGGCAGTTCAGATAGCCTGCACAGTTCTTTTTTTTTTTGGGGGGGGGGGTGGTTGCGATAGACGGAGCTTTTTGTCCCTAGTTACCCATGTCCTAGGAGAAGTTTGATGAGATTCAGATAAGACACAATTGTTGATTTTCTTCTGGCAGACCAATTTTTTTCTTGTCTGCCTTGATGATACTCAGTTTTGTTTGTCCATGAAACCTGGTGCAACCAATCAGTTACTCATATCGCAAGCTTGTCTTAGAGACATAAAATCTATGCATACAATATGTGGCGGGCATCTTCAATGACACATACCCTCTGTCATCACTACATCACAGTGTCAAGCTACGTCAATGCAGCTTATCTTTTCAAATATGTACCATTGTGATTCTACTATTACATCACTTGGTAGCTCAGAGGTGTAACAGCAGTAAGTTGATTCTAACTCTCCATGTTGCCTCAGTCTTTTATAAATAAGATCACAAAAATGCTTCTCGTGCTTTAAGCGCTTTGTGAAAGCTGCTAAAGTTTCTTGTTGGTTTGAAAAAGAGTTCTAAACTCTCCCAGACAAACACAAGTATTTTACTTGTGACTGTTTGCAAATATGACACTTATCTTAAACCTGCTGTTTAAAGCTGCATGTGCTAACCCATTCTCTCTTGTCCTTTAGGTCATGGAACCAAAGGCGTCTTTGAACTGCTGGCAGGCTGGAGGAGAACAAGAGAAAACTTGCCCTTCAAGGAGCGTGTGGCTGATGCGTTTGCTGATGTGATGGTGTGCTACACAATGACCAGCTCTCTCTACATCATCACTTTTGGCATGGGAGCTAGCCCTTTTACGAACATTGAGTCGGTGAAAATCTTCTGCCAGTGCATGTGCGTAGCCATCCTGGTGAACTACTTCTATGTATTCTCTTTCTATGGCTCCTGCCTAGTGTTTGCAGGACAGCTTGAGCAGAACCGCTACCACAGTGTCTTCTGTTGTAAGATCCCGTCAGTGGAGTACTTGGACCGCCAGCCAACGTGGTTTAAAACCATGATGAGTGATGGCCATGACCTCTCCACACATCATGACAGTGTACCATACCAGAATCACTTCATCCAGCACTTCCTACGAGAACATTACACGGAGTGGATTACCAACACCTATGTGAAACCATTTGTGGTCATATTATATCTCATTTATGCCTCGTTTTCATTCATGGGATGTTTACAAATAAGTGATGGATCAAATATCGTAAACCTTTTGGCCAGTAACTCACCAAGTGTTTCATATGCTCTGACCCAACAGAAGTACTTCAGTAATTATAGTCCTGTGATTGGGTTTTACATTTATGAACCCATTGAGTACTGGAACTCCACAGTGCAGGAGCACCTGAAGACTCTGAGTCATGGCTTCAACAAGATTTCCTGGATAGATAACTTTTTCCACTACCTGCGGTTGGTAAATGTGAGTGCATCAACAAAGAGTGACTTCATCAATATTTTAAAGGGTTCTTTCCTGCGCAGCCCGGAGTACCAGCACTTCACAGAGGACATCATCTTCTCCAAGAACCGTGAGACTGACGAATACGACATCATTGCATCACGGATGTACTTGGTAGCACGGACCACAGAGAAGAAGCGGGAGGAGGTGGTGGAGCTTTTGGAAAAGCTCCGTCCCTTGATGCTGATCAACAGCATCAAATTCATTGCCTTTAATCCCACATTTGTTTTTATGGATCGCTACAGTTCGTCCGTCATCTCACCCATTCTGACCTCAGGTTTCAGCGTACTCACCATCCTCATCCTCACTTTCTTCCTGGTCATCAACCCCTTGGGGAACTTCTGGCTCATTCTCACAGTGACATCTGTGGAGCTGGGTGTGTTAGGTTTGATGACCCTCTGGAATGTCGGCATGGACAGCATTTCCATCTTGTGCCTTATTTACACTCTCAATTTTGCCATGGATCACTGTGCACCACACCTGTACACTTTTGTGCTTGCTACAGAGCACACAAGGACACAGTGCATCAAGTTGGCACTGGAGGAGCATGGGGCGGCCATCTTGCAGAACACATCCTGCTTTGTGATCGGGATCATGCCTCTAGTGTTTGTGCCTTCCAATTTGACCTACACACTGTTCAAGTGCTCCCTACTCACTGCAGGCTGCACTTTGCTGCACTGCTTCGTCATCCTGCCTGTCTTCCTGACCTTCTTCCCGCCATCCAAAAAGAGACATAAGAAAAAAAAAAGAGCGAAGCGGAAAGAGCGGGAAAGGGAAAGGGAGCGAGAGAGGGAGAGAGAAAGAGAGGAGATAGAGTGCATCGAAGTCAGGGAGAATCCTGATCACGTGACAAATGTTTGAGTAATTATTCATGTTAGGAGGGTTAGTACCCACCAGGTATTGGTGGACTGGGTGAACTCTCAGATGCTGAGGCACCTCTGTAGGCACAAGGATGTCTGAGGTGTTCCCTGAGTTGTCACTCTCACACAATAGAAGCTAAGCTGGCTAGAGTCAAGTGCAGCCCTTTTAGTCAGTCGTCAATCCTTCAATCTGAACAGTATATCTCATTTGCACAAACTCTCGTTTGTTCATGGTTTTAAATTTATTTCTGACTTATAGTTACATAAAAACTACTTAGTTGTCCAAACTTGCCTGCTAAATCTTTATAAAATTCTAGTTTGTATCAAAGTTGCCAATTTTGTGTAGATGTTCTGCAGTCATCATACAAACACATAAGGGTAATAAGTCTCCGACCAGTTGTTGAAATCAGTCAGAGTCAAAAGTTAAACTTAGCAAATATGGCTGCACATGCACTTTACTTCTCACATCTAATATCAGTGAATAAACCGTGGGCAGAAAGCACGCTGCATGCTTTTCTGTAATAATAAAAACAGCTAGACCAGGCAGATGGCGTACACTGTGTCCATTATGAAGAATTATCTTGCACACTGCGTTGTGAGGAGGTTTAGCTAAGAGAGGGGTAAATGTGGGCTACAGTGAGAGAAGAAGAGGTTGAAAGTGAAGTCAGTGCTGTGTTGCAGTATGTGGAAGATCGTCAGCTTGATTCGAACTATTAGACTAGAGGAAGTCCTAAAATGTGTTTGCTTGAGAGAAATAAAACTCAAAGGTAAAGGTGTTTTTAAGGCCCCATTAGCACTACTTACTATTTTCTGCTGTAGTCGTACACATGCAAACAGTTATTGGTAAGAAAAAACTGGGATTTTCATTGACTAAAATGAAATTACGTAGCAATGATGTAGCTGTCGATTACACACATGCCCACTGTCATTTTGTGACCCAGAATCTAAAACAACCGGGTTGTTTTTATCAGTTTTTCTAAGTCTGCCTCGCTCTGTCCTGATCTTGTTGGCGTTACTTTTTAACTGTGTGCTGAAATAGTTACTACCTGAGAGGAAGCAATTAATATTATCCATGAAATAGGTGTTTTGGAAAAATAATTTTGGCCAAATTGTATTTTAAAATGTCCGTTGTGTGGACGCTCTCACCACCTGGTGGCAGAGCACAGTGGTCTACGTTTTTATATAGAATCATGTAGACGTAGAAAAAAATCAAAACAGAGAAAATAAATGCCCTGAGTAGTGTATACGGGGTCTACTTGACTTGAAACATTTAACTTTTAGCAGATTGAGACCAGACACTAGCAGTGAGTAAATTGGTGCTTCTGTGGTACCCCTACAAAGGTTTCCTGTCAAACAAGTTCATTTAGTTCCAGCGCTGCCAAACCATGTACAGAAGTCTTTCTATATTAGATCTCCTCTAAAACATAAAGCCCCAGGAAATTTTGACATATGAGTCATTAATGATAATTTATTGTTTAATGTTCAAGGTTGTGAAGAAGGTCATGCAGGTTATAAAATCTAAAAAGACTAATAAATGAAAGTAGGTCATCACTGAAAAAATAAAATACTGAGACCAAACTCAAACTAAAACCCCATGCTATTTGTTTTATATTTTCTTTATTTTAGGAAAATTAATTCAATATAAGTTTTTGGTTCTGTTTAGTATGTCTTTTCTTGTGTTGATATGATCAGTTTTCTCAGCAAAAAAAAAAAAAAAAAAAAAATATATATATATATATATAACTTTTTTTTAGCTAGTCAATGAGCATAGCTAGCCTGATGAGCAGAAAACAGGTTGCTGAACTTTTAACATAACTGCAGGTTTAGAGTAATGTTATCCTATATATATATATATATATATATATATATAAACATTGTTTGATTGAGATCAGGCCCTGTTTGCACTGGTTCACTGCATTCTTAATATTCAGCTGGACCATGGATGGTCACTGCATGATTTTGGTGAGTTAATGCAGTGACCTCCCCTTGTGTCGAAATAATGGGGGAGTTGGAAGGGTCACAGCCCCCACCCCCACCCCCCACCAAGGTTGTCTCACCCAACAAATAATTTAAGAAAAATATAGATCTACGCAATATAAAGAAATGACAGCAGAATGACCATTTATATCAGTAAAACTATGTATGTATTATTATTTATGACTCATATTTTGCACCCTTCTTTATGAGCCTGATTGTGGTTTGACATTTCAGAGCAAGCCTAAAGCCTGGAGGTGTGAAATATTTATCTTCTAGTGATGCTTTACAGCACTGATCTCTGGCGGAGTGGTGAACATTCATGCCGTTCATGTGAGAGACTGTAGTTTGATCCTAGTAAAAAAAAAAAACTGTTTTTATTATTGTCAAACCATAATATTTTAACTTCTTGTGAATGGCAACAGTCATATTTCTATAATGTTTGACGTGATCTCTGATCAGAGGGAACAACTGTTCTTGTCTGATCGTTTCAGTAGCTCACAATTGATACTGAGACACACCACAATGATTCTATGGGTCTGAGGAATATCTTGGTTTAATTTAGTTGAGTAATTTATCGGACACATGTATTTTCTTTAACGTACCAGGTTGGACAAGTAGAGCATGGTGCCAAGGAGCTGGTGTACAGAGTACCAAGTAGCTTTATGAATACCTTCACACTGAAGAAGGTTTTCCAAATTTTCCTGTGATCCAGCTTGTGGAGAGCAGAGCAAGATCATCTGGTGTGAGTGGGGCCTAAGTGGCTAAGTCTTCGTACAAAGTATACCTGAGATCGACTAGAATTGTCACATTATTGTAGGTCAATGTAATTAAATTATTTTAACTAATTTAGATGACCTAAAAAAAAGCCTCCATTGGAGTTTCCATTAAGTTACAGAATTGGTGTGAATTGAACTAGCCTGGAGGTACATCAACAAGAATATGGAGCATACGCTTTTTTAATACCACCTAAAATCAATATCCCACAGTAGTTGAATAACAGAAATATTTTACAAATTGTGATACAAACACCATATTTGGTGTGATGATTTTCTTTTAGGTATTTGTCAAATCTATTAGATTGACCATTTGAAATCCAAGATGGTTGCCTTTTATCGAGATTTAAGATATTTCCACACAGTAATAATATAGTTAGCGTTTCCCCTGGTTAGCTTGCCATGGCGGGGTGCTCATCGCATCCATGATTTTTGCTGATGGGGGGACGGAGACATGTCTGAGCGCAGCTTGTACTAAGTTTTTGAGCGGGGACGTTCAACATGAGGGAAAAGGCAATGTGAGTGCTGCCTTGGGCTTTTTAGCTAGAGAGCCTGTATTTTGCGCTGCTACCTTAGTGATATGTCAGTGCTGGGTGGGGGTGGGAGGGGCAAGTTCAGTTTGGTAGGCGGGGTGCTCAGTTCTGTTGACAGGGTGGGGCACCCCGCCTGTATAATGGTAGGGGAAACACTGATAGTAATGAACTCACTTGATCAATTTGAAAGATCTTAAATAACTTTGACACGTTTTCTTCTGTCATTAGCCTTGTACTATGCAAGTAACACATATTAATGAGAACGTATAACAAGAGTGTTCATGGCAATTGGTGGAAGAGTGCTCCAACAGACCTGTGTGTCCTTTCTGAGTCCAACTCCAGTCAGCAGGACTAACAATGAATTTGTTGGCCATTTTGACAAATGGTCACCATCTTAGATTTTTAGATGGCCAATCAGGTAGATCTTTTCAGAAGACACTTGGGAACAACAATGCCAAATTTAGTGCTTGTATCCCATTTTACATAAGTCTTGTGTACATTTAGTTTGAGCAGCTTCATTACAGGAAACTGAATGATCTTTACAAAACACTTTTCTACTTAGAAGTACAAAATGGCTACTTTGACCGTACAGGGTAAACAGGATTATCTTCTGCCTTTGCCTGATAAAAATCCCAGAACAAACACATCCAAGGTCAGCATCTCTCCCAGGCACCAATCTCACTCTGACCTCTGGCAGACTGGGCTCAGCTGGTGCTGGGTGGTCCACAGACCTCATGTGTGAGCCAGTCAATACCTTCTTAAGGGACTGGCTATCACTGAGGGGAAACTGCTGTTTGTCTTGTTTTTTTTTTGTGCTGCCCTCATCGAGGGAACAGCTCTCACTCAAGCTAAAATGTGTTGATGTTTGATAAATGGAGTGTGAATCTTTGTGTGAATAGTCACTAAATACCAAAATGCTTCTAAGCCCACTTTATGTGTAATTTATTTGAGTTAGAGACAGTTGAAGCTTTTTTGTTATCATAGCTTTTATTTACTTCGGCTGTTCCCTTCTACAGAGGTCACCACAGCAAGAGAACTTGTATGAAAGATTTGGCAATTGTTTTACTCCAGATGTTTCTCCTGACGCAACCTGGGCTCGAACCCGTAGCCTCAGAATTATGAGACCGCAGCACTGACCACCGAGCTACCACAGCCCTATTTAAAAAAAAAAAAAAATCATAGTTCACCACAAAGAATACACTGTGTATGTGGAGTCTGAAGCTGTACGTGTAACTTAACTAGATATTGCCCTTGTTACAAATTTGGCGTTCTTGCAGCCACTCCCTGCAGCCAATGAAGTAATTGTCACGTAATGTAAAAGCCATGTCATGTATGTATAGCGAGAAGGCATGAAATGTTTAAATAATGGTTACTAAAAGCAAATCCTAAAAGGGTTACTTCCCAAAAATGGACTGCCGCATGACATTGTGTCATTTGTATGCATGTATTTATTTTTTTCTGTATGAAGTCAGTGTATTTTTCTATTAACTTGCTGAAATGTAGTGACTTCAGTTTGTCGTTGCAAGGCATATTCTGTGACATCATGTGCTGCAAAAGAACAAAAAGAGTCATGTCTGTTCCAAAAACTAAAGCCAGACCATGTTTCATGTGTAAAATAATTGCAATTTACTATTTTCTATTTTTTCTATGACAAAAAAAAGCAAACCTTTTATTGATGACATTTTCTTACAAAAAAGTTTAAAAAGGTTGGAAAAAAAGTTGAACAAAGTAGGCCAGTAATAAA